GGGAAAGAGAGGGGTGGAGAGATTTATATAGAGGGGTGGGGAAGAGAGCAAGTTTCGGAGTTTGTGGTCAAAGTGGAAAAGAGAAAGCAATTGGGAAATATTACCGGGGAAGCTTTGTAAAGTGTGTTCCTTGGACTAGGGCAAGAGTGGGACAGAGAGAGACGCTTTAGTTAGTTACAACATTTGCTTGCATTAAATGAGAATTAATGAAAGGAAAATAGAATAGAAAAACAGTAATTTTTCATGTTTGTCGTTCGTATTTGTAACGTATGGTCGGGTGAGATGAGATTTTTTTCCGATCTTGAAGAAATTTGTAAAATATATTCATAATTACTGACGATATTAATAATGATAATAATAATAATGATGAAAAAATTGATAAGTGATAGCGGATGTTATAGATGATAGTGATGTGGCAACATAGTTAGTCTCAAGAATTGGAATATGGAAAAATTATCCTAACCACATCATTCAAAGAAATCCAAAATTAAAAATACAATTTTAATGTTTAAGTAAAAAATTATCATTTTAATGTTAATTTTTTTTTAATTGAGGAGTGTTGGCAATAACATATCTAATCATATTTGTTAGAATTTATAGATAACTATAAAATTAGGAGAAAGACACGTTAAATAAGATGTGTAACTTACCAAAAATATTCTTTTAATAAATTTTAACTAATTAGAGAAAGTGTTTATAAAAGTATATTAGAGAATATTGCTACCATTTCTCTTTTTAGTTTTTCTTCTTTTGTTCACTTTTTAATTAGTTAACCACAAATTATAAAATTTTAAACAAATTTAACATTTAGTTTTTTTTTATATAAAACATTAGAAACTTTCATCATTTTCCAAATTTGTGATAACAAATATGATTTTTTTTTATATAAAAGATATAATAATTAAAACAAGATTACACTTTTTACATTACAAAATATAAGGAGCCTTTATGATAAAGTGTGTGTTTTATTACTCTTTCATTCAATTCCCTTCAATGTGAATTTAAGTGTGTGAATGTTGCTCCGAGTTAGCTTTATCCGAAAAGTTGGGTGTTCCAAGTGTTATGTACTTATGTGGGGATATAGTTGACTTTAACCAAGTTCAAGTTGTTCTATCAGATGAAGGTAACTCCACCTATAGGGTTGATTTATTTGAATAGTTAGAGTAAAGGGTCATCTTCAATTTGTTTTCCTAGTCCTTCAAGGGTTTTAAAAGTGACTATGTATGTATAGAGGCAACTGTTAGGCACCAGATACAAAATTCTATATATCAAGAGTTGGATAAGACGACCAAGTTTCCTTGGTACTGAAAGGAGAATCACCATAGGTCTATTGGCAAGGGAAAGATAGGGATTACTAAGGCTAAGGTCAATGAGTGTAATGAGTTGGTGAAGTTGCCTCATCATTTGGACATGAAAGTTTTGCTTGCATTGCCAACCACCGCTAATCTCAACCGAGCTTTGAAGGGTGTGTGTGGTGGTTTTAGGTGTTTTAGCCTATTTTCTTTTATGAGTGTTGTTCGTTGTGTTGTGTTCTAATACAATGTTGGTTTGCATATAGGTTTGATGAGGAAGTGTATGTGGAAATAGTTGAAAACAAAGTTCAAGGTTGATAGTGATGAGTAGAGGCACACATAAGATATTGGATTGATGATTTTCATGGGATTAATTGAGGAAGAGATAGTGGTGCCTTCTTTTCTGAGGAAACAAAAAAAATGTCATTGTTTCAAGGACCACCATTCATCCTGCGTTTGTTGCTTTAGGTGCTTAAAGGGAGGAATCTTCTATTGCAAGAAAACCAAAGGTGGGGAGCTCAAGTTAAGGGCAAGTGGTTGGGGAGATTGCAACAAATGAGGAAACTGAGCATGCAAGTATCAATGCTTGGGAAGTCGAAGGACAATTAATTTCGAGGAGGATAAGACAAATAATAGTGTGCTAGAGCCAATTGTAGTGGTGTTGGATGGGGGGTCGAGCCCTTTTGATGTTGTTGACAAGGGGAAAAACCTCATGCTTTCGTAAGGGAGGTTGATTTAGAGGGCTAACCTTGGTGAGTGGTCAATCTATTCTAGGGAGGGAGCATGAGAAGCCTCTATAGGAGTCACTAGTAAGGAGGTCAGTGAGCCATTTGTTTTTCGTTCATAGCCATAGGGAGCCATAAAGGTTAGATTATGTGTCAACCAGCAGTTTTGGGAACTCCCTGTAGAGTGTGGGCAAGTTGAGTTCAAATTTCTTCTAGGTTGCTTTATTGAGTGATTTTGACCGCCATATGGTTGAGAGTGTGGCGTCGATTGACAAGTTGGATGCAACTTGGGTGATGTTGACATGATCACTGGCATGATGGACATTTGGAAAGGCAAGTTGGTGAGCAATGCGGCTTAGGCAAAATGCTACCAAATGTATGCGTGTCGTGCTAATTTGTAGGTGTTTTCGACGTATGTGGCACATCAACAGGCAATTATTGCCTTCATTACTACCTTGAGGGTTGGGGAGTGGATGGATAACCATTGGAAGGATTATAGTGCAAGGGTGGGTGAAGAGAGGTCTCGTGCTACAGGTGGTTTTGCTGCTTTGAAGGGGCGACTTTAGGAGAAAGAGCGGGAGTTAGAGCAGTTTTCCATCAAGGACAAGGAGATTGAGCGTTTGAAGGTTGAGTTAGAGGCATTTCATGCTTATAAATTCGTGTTGGCTATGGCATGTGCTCGCCTTGAAAGTGAGAGGAAAAGGTTGTTGGAGGAGAAGGTAGTTCATTTTGGTGAGGTGGCTAAACTTGTAGTTGAGCGAGATGATCTACTTATGGACCATGGCAAGCTTGTTGATGAGGTGGGCCTCCTTATAGTGGAGCGGGGCGTGCTTATGGTAGAGAAAAAAGACCTATGAAAAAGGCTGGTTTCCATAGAGAAAGCAATGTGTGAAAAGCATGTCAAGCGTTTTCAAAAGGCAGTTCAACAGGTAATATTTTTTGCTTCAGACTTTCCTTATGCCAAGCTAAACATTGATTTTGATGTCTTATTAGGGAGTTGATAAATGAGGTTGACATCCTATATGAAAATGATGAAGAGCATGATGAGGATAAGATCAAGGTTGCTTCCTATGCGTCTATAAAGGCCAAATCTGAGGAATGGGTGGTTGTTGAGCTAAACAAGGAAGCATCTACACCTGAGGGTGTATGGCGACTACTGTCAATGGGGAAACGTTTTTTGGAAAGCTATGGCTAAATTCCCTATTATTGATGGGACTTGGTGATTGATGTTTTGGTTGCTCTAGAGCCAAGTAAAGAAGTGGTCGATTTCAAAGTCACCTAAAAGAAAGCTGATGATCATATGATCAATGACATATTATGGATGTTTCTTTGCATATATTGTTTTATTACTTGTGTGATATATGTGTGATGTGTGGGAATGCATTATATCGTGAAAGGTTGTCACGTGGTGAGGTTGATGAGTTCAAAAATGTGTAGTAAAGGTACATTGATTTAGAAGGTAGGACGTGTGCATGAGCTCAAGAGTTTGGTAAGGGTGTGGGAGCATAGAGAGTTAAAAGTTTGTGATCATGAGTGGTGTGATAGCTCAAAATCTCAATATTGCATGCGAACTTATAACTGCATCATTATTAATGGGATGAGAGCTTAGAAGCCCATAATTGCATGCAAACTCGAAAGTTTGTAAGTGGTGCGAGAGCTTGGAAGCTTAGAATCACATGTGAACTCGAAAGTTATTTATTTGTTAAGGTGTGAGAGCTCATTTGCTTGGAAATCACATATAAACTTTGTGAAGACATGTGTTGATCTAAAGTAGTACGTTAAGTAGGGATTTCCTGATGTTCTGAGGTCGAGCTCTTTTATGGCTCTTAAGAGTGGGACGTGGATTGCTTGATGTGGCCCATAAGTCGTGAGATTATAAGTACCACTATGTTTTCGATGGTAGTTAGGTTATTTGTATATCCTAAGGTGAACTTTAGGCCTTCGACATAGCATTTCATTATCATGAGCTAGTCAGCTTGGATTGTGGCTATTCTCCCATTGCTGGTCAGGAATTTCATCACAAGGTGGAGTATGGTTACCACGACACCTAGTGACATTATAATAGGTCGTCAAGTCCACTAACAAATATTTCACACTTAATGACTTGGTGTATTTGTCGTTGCCAAATTCGATCAAAAGTTCTACATAGCCCCTTGTGTTGACATGTTCTCTTGCAAATCCTAGCAAAGGTTCATCGTATGGTTTGATATCGTCACTAGGCAATTGCATTTGGAGGAAGATATTCCAATATAGGATGTTGGTTGTGCTTCCTTAGTCCACAAGGGTCTTCTACACCTCCCAATTTGACAATTTGGACCGAGATGAGCATAGGATTGTCCTGATTCAAGTCCATACCTAGGAAATCATCATTAGTAAAAGTAATCGAAACTAGTGATTTGGGCGAATTACCATGTGTAGTAGTGACACTATTGATGATTCTAAGGAAGCCCCCTCTAAAATTATATTTTAGGCCTAAGGTGTGTTTTGATAATTGTCAAATATGTCAATATTCTTTTTATCTAATTTAGGTAATTATCTAGCATATCTTATGTTTTCAAGTCCTGTTTTTGTCAAAATTTAGTATTTTAATTCTATCCTATTAATTAGAAAAATTATTTTAGATTTAGGCATTTTTATGTTTTTTTTTAGTATTTAGATACATGAAGTAAAGTTGTCAATTTAAGCTCAACTTGAAGGGTTGCTTGGCCAACTCACAAATAAAGTCAGGGTAGGCCTTAAAAATGATGACTTAAATAGAATTATGCCATTTTGCCTAACTTCCTAAGCCCGATAGACCAAATGTGCTCTAGTCAAACACGAGCTCATAAACTTACGAACTAGCCTGTTAAACTAATATGTAGAATAAATTGAACTACCATCAATATATAAATTTGTAATGTGTTATAAAATAATAGAAAAAAATATAATAATAAATATAATAGTCTTTCACTCTTTTGTGTTTAGTTACAAAGTTATAGTTACATGCTTAGAGTAAGGATTAGTCGTTGTGAGAGTTTCTTCACTCCTATTGTGTCCTTG